TACATTCTCTACCTCCTACCCGGATCTCTATGCGACTCCTTTTTCGATGTGTAACGATTCATCTGTGTAAACATCCTATGGGACAAGAGAAGCACCAGCTTGTAAGCTATTCCCAAAATAAAACTTTGACTTTGAGCATGCGAGCACGACTACCAAATAAACGGTCATAGACGATCAGTGGCAACGGTCGAGAACCTCTCACTAGGTTAGCTAGATGCTCAAGAACTTCCGTTTTACGACGGCATCATGTCATGTGCGACTTTGGTCTACCACTCAACAAGATTAACTTACCTTGTCTAGTATAATGGAGAAAGACAACCCTATTGTCTTCGATCCGGCCCCGACGGGCTGTCCCCATCGGCTTTTAAGGATGGAGGTTTAGCCTTGGTTTTGGAGTTAACAAAACTCCTAGGCTCAGTGTGTTAGAGGGAACCGGTTCCAACTGAGTGGTGTGAGTCGGTGATCATACCGATTTACAAGAAAGGTGATAGATCCTCCTCTGAAAACCACAGAAGAATTAGTGTAATCAACATTGCATCTAAACTTCTCGCTGGCATCATACTCCGCCGATTGTCTGCCGCACAAGAACGGTGTACGCGTGAAGACCAGGCTGATTTCAGACCTGGTCAAGGTTGTATCGACCACATCTTCACTCTTCGTCAAATTCTAGAACACAGACACTCCTTTCGTAGACCTATCACGTCTATCTTCCTCGATCAATCAAACCGAAGTACCCTGTGAGACACGGAATCCCAGCAGAAGTGTGCAAAGTTCGCTTCTCGACTATGCTCAATCCTATTCAGAAATTCCTTCGATGAATCTGAGACAGCGACGTAATTACCACCTATTGGGGGTACTTAAACCAGTGCGCGGTGACTACATGGTATCAGCCCTATTGATGTAGTGACCAGTCTTCTCAATCATTCCATTGAACCGGTTCACAAAAGAAAGAGACGAACGCACTCGAGCAAACCAACGAGCGTTTCGCCGGGAAAGAGGCTGTTTTGAACTAAACCGCGCCCCGAAACACTGATAGAGTTACCAACAGCCAATTAATACCCTCTTTATCGAGTTCCGAATAGCATTTGATTTGATCCATAGAAGAACAATAGAATGCAGGCAGAATGAACGAACCTTGCAAGGGTCAAGTTTTCAGCGTCATTGGTACGCGCCAGAGGGTACGGTGAAGAATCCACAAATTCCTCAGCGAACTCCTCCTCCTCTCAGTGAGACAAGGATGACCTTTATCCCATGCCATTCAAATCCGTGATAAACAGGATAATGAAGCAATCAGTTCACCCAGAGGCCTGGATCTCCGACTTAAAATATGCATACATAATTGTACGATGTGATAATCCGCAGAACTTGCTTCCTGTGCCCGACCGCATAACTACCATGTCCGAGATGGTTGGATTAAAATTCAACGCATTCTTGCGACCTTCGTTCAAGCAGACTAAATTCATACGCTGAAGCAATCTAACAAGTCACGTCGTTGCGATATTTATGCTCGACAATTCTGAAAACCGCTCGGGGCACCGACGAAATTCCAACCAGCGCATTTCCGATGTTCCTCAGGACGATCTAGACATATGGAGAAACAAGCCTCCGCAAAAAATGCAAATCTGCCAGACATCCATTCGCCTACTGTTAACATACGATTGCGAAACCCGGGCTCTCCAAAAGGAGAGCAGGGAGATACGCAAGCGATGTTTCAACATCTAACTGTCAATCCACAATTGCACGGTTTGATCACACCGAAATTTCCTACATCTGTCTTGCTCTAACGTCATGTCCAGCCTGGTTGCCGCACGGGCAGCAAGAAAGCCGCACAAATGTGTATGATTAATGGTTGTAGGAACTGACTAAACTGAACGAGAGACAGATGGACTTTACTTCACGCTAATGGCGCCAAAAGTGGACAGTCATCTGTGAGGATCTTGAGTATTTGTTAATGGCTACCGCAATCTGTGAGACCGTCGAAATTGGCTCAACCTCTCGCAAGATAATCGCATGAAGGTAATAAAAATGTCCAACAAAAGGCACACCAATACCCTAAACCATCTAAGAATAACAAAATTGAAGATCGAAGCAGTAAGCCACAAATTTAAAATACTGCACACACTTCCATCGGATCTGGCGAAATAGTGACAGAAGGAAGAAACAGAGAAAACCGCCTTTGGGGGACCCAATAAAGTTAGATGAATCGTGAGGGGGGGGGAGCTTCTAGTAGTAGTATCAGACTGGTTTGGGATTACGGGACGGCATCAGACGCAGGCAGAAAGAAATGGAGAACATGTACAGAAATGAGGGTATGGAGGTGGACTGAGAAGGCAGTTTCTGTTGGTGGTAGTAGCCAGTGCTGTTGCTGACTCTAAATGGGCACAACCCATTGCGAATGGGACATGGAAAACAGGTTGTCGTGGTCGTTGAATTTGAGTGGAGACTGCTATAATATGAACACATCCACAGGCGAATTCGTTATAATTGAACGGACATAAGGAGCTTCACTCGATCAAGCCTGGATGGAATTTGGAAAAGAGCAGTACTTGACGACGAGGAAGGCAGACCGTATAAAAGAGAATGAGGTGTTACTGGATAGCGCGAGATAAGGTAACGAGTGTGCTAGCAAAAGACCACACTCAGTCATCCTGGGGAGTGGGGTGGATGAAAAAATGGAGCGCACGTGCCTTGGTTTGAAAGAAAAGCTGGATGGGATGGTGATGCTGATGATGATCAAGCAGAGTATGCAACGGAATGGGGACGAAACGCAGCCGTTGTCCTAAGGAAGGGATGAACAACCAGGGCGGCTACAGAAGTTACACGAAAGTCATATGGCGATAGAGAACGGAACAAGTGCGCAATATGGCAGACAAGGCAAATGTCGGGAACTGAGATCNTCTTGGTCTTAGAAGTCCAAGTAAGCTGTCCGGTTTGAGTGTATGCGCACTTTTGAGTGTGATGTGTATGGGGGGAAAGACTAAGACGGACGGTAAATAACAGCAACGACGGAAACAACAACAACAGCAAATGCATACAGGCATTCTTTTGGACTGCAACGGGCGAGTGCATTAGGCAAAATAATCACGATAGTGACAGGTGCCGTGCCGTGCCAATTCCAGCCTGAGCACCGGATGTTGAACCTAGATGAATGACATCAATTCGTGTTCCCGGATGAAAATGGATTGAAATGAACTAGTCTTCCTTGCACCCGGTCACGGAGAAGAATATAGACTTTTGAAAGGCAATGGTGGACCAGATGAGCTCCCATTTTGCTGCTCGGGGGGTCTTAGGCGTCGTGATTGCCTACTACCACTAGAACGACCATTGAAACTTGCATGTCTTTCAGCATCACTGTTTGATCCATACAGCTGAGAACGGAATGCGTTGGGCAGAGTTGATGCTTCTGGAGCCATTTCACTATCCATTTCAGTCGCGACATTTCTGTCGATATGGACCAAATCTGCTGCTGCTGCTGCCGCTGAAACTGCGGTATCACTATTGGACGGGAGCGGGAGATTCGCACGATCGGATGTACTGGTTGATTGAGTCGATGGTCCGCAAGCCCCCGTATTTGATTGCTCTTTTGACGCATTGGCTGCCTCTGCCAGTGTCTGAGAGCAACCCGGTAGGCACGTCCGCGTGGCGGATGAAGCGAACACTGTGTTCATTCCATCATCGAAACCGTCATCGCGCTCATCGCTACCCGAAGCCGGTCGAACAAAGTCCCAGATTAAAATTGTGTCGTCGTGAGAGGAAGAAACTATTTGAAAGTCGTCAAACTGTAACCGAAATACGCGACCCGTGTGTTGTTGAAGTGTGTGGATGCATAACTGACTTGGTTTCGACCGCGGATTTAGAGCTGCTTTCAAATTCCACACTTTGATCTTTCTGAAATGGGGTTAGGACGGAGACAAAGAAGTACGAGTTACAATCATAAACAAATCACGGGTGTGACACTATTTTCTCCGAACACGCTCATACAGGCGGTATGAATGAACGTAGACCAAAAAAATGAGAGTGGGATCAAGAATGTGATTCTGTTTACTTAGCTCCGGAGCAGGACAGCAGCAAGATGTCCATCAGAACGTGTAACAGTTTTGTGAGTGTTTTTAAACCAACGAGCTTACCCATCATATGCACCAGATACAATGCGTTTGGAATCGAATCGAATACAGCGCACAAGTTCTTCGTGTCCTTCCAGTACACGGAAACACACTCCGGTCTCTATGTCCCAAATGCGGATTGTGTTATCTGAACTGCCAGAAACCACAAGGCGATCACGATATTGTAGGCAAGCAATCCCACGGCGGTGTCCGGCTAAAGTGCGGACATATGCACACGTATCTGTGGCCCAAACCTGGAAAGGAAGAGTACGGTTAAGAGATTTGTGAATTTTCTTATTAGTTCAGGTGGATTTCAACTTGTCTGAGGCCAGACGCGCCAGTCCCTTATTTTTAAACCCAGTCCTTAGGGTAGGATAAGCGGTTTTGTGAATCCTTATGAAGCTTCGTGACAGCCTCAGTGTCATTCCGCGTTCTATTTTGAGGGTACACCTCTTTTTGGTCGGGTAATACCTGCGATTTTCAAGGCTTCCTCTATATTCCAGTGCCAAAAAATCATTTGATCACCTTTTTACGTGATATGGTCAGCAGTTACACATCTAAGGGTGTATCTCCCCAGGTCATGGACGGAGTAAAAGCGACTTCAGTCGAGAACCATGAAAAGACGGAATTGATTCACTGAATATGAGGGGGGCGAACAATCAGAGGCAATGTCCCAGGATTCGACCGGTCTTCATCTGAAAAGCGAGTATCTTGATGCGTGAATGTGACTCGCCACTAAATAAGGGTTACGTAATCACTGTGTTGCCTCATGAGTATATAAGTACAGCAATGGCTATGTGCTCAAAGAAAAAAGGCCGTGGTACTGGTTATGCCAATTATACCGTATTCCCAATATTGCTCATGGTTTCAACCATGAGGCCATATGACGGAGTAGCCTAACAGTAACAAGTAAAGTCCTCTACGGTAACGCCAATCATACTAATGTTACCTCTCCCATAGCTGTACACAAAAATGGAATCAATTAGGGAGGGGGGGGAAGAAACCAGCCACACGCGAACAAGCATGATGCCACCGCGGCAACAACAATAATAACAGAGAATTCAGATGAAAAATGGAACGATGCGGAAAAAGTAATTACGGGAAACATAAAAAGCAGGAACGGGTGTTTTTGTTTGTTTTATAACATTCACAGATACAGATGAGGAGCACTTACCTTGATGGTTCGATCACCACTAGCTGAGACAATGTATTTGTCATCGAAATCAACGACATTCACTGCGGCTCGATGTCCGACTAGCACTTGACGAAGTCGAACGTCTGCAGGCCAAGGTCCCATATCCCAAACCGCAATACTGCGATCCTGTAAGTTACAAGACAGTTCAGTGAAAATGTAACCATGCGAAAGTGAACTACTGAAAAACACCCCCATCTTTACGCAAAAGATTCAAACGAAAGCCTTTCAGGAAAGCACGAGTAGATCTAAATGAATGCGTAAAACTGGGGAAAATGGTTGTCGAAAGCAATAAGATCTGAAATTTCACCATTTGGTAAGTACATGATAGGTAGAAAAGATACTAGGATAGAGGTGATTGATGATTTTCTTTATTTGCGCACATCGATCTCGTGGACTACATCTAGCCCATGTCTACCACGTTACCGTCCACATGCCGACGCATTGAAGTTGAAAGACAGCCCATATTTAACGACAATGTGACTTGTTTTACTTCATGCTCGAAACGCTACATTCCGCAAGCGGGATATGGCGATCAGTTGCACAATATCTTGTNNNNCACCACCCAAAAGTTGTATGGAGGCTAACAGATGAAGTGACAATATGAAATTACGGAGCGACCAGGAAGATTTTAAATGGCAGGTTCAAAGATTCTGTTGGAGATGTGGATTTCAGGAGAGTGCCAATAACTATGGGACGAGAGTCTTAAGTAATTCACTATTAATTTGCATGTTAATGTATAGCAATGTACGGAATCCTCAAGTATCATCACCATCTGGTGTATACATAAACAATGGGGCAAAAAACTCCTAATGAATACATGCATTGAATTAGAGGATACAATCATGTATTAGAAAAGGTGCCAAATGCACCAAACTGATTCAAAAATGATGTCCTATGAATCGAGTGTACCTTGGAACATGTCACCAGGACGTTGTTGCGAAAACGAAGGTGAAGCACTGCTTCAGCGTGGTGACAGACAACATTGAGACAGCGACCGGTTGATAAGTCCCACAAGCGCACGGTAGTATCGCTCGAGCCGCTGATCAGCAAATTGCCTATGTACTGTAGGCACAATACCGATCCGGAATGACCTTCGAGTATCTAGAGATTAAACGGAAAGCAACGGGCAGGTGGGCTTGACGATAAATATGATATAATATACGACAAAATAAACGCAACAGATTGCTTTTGTGTAGAGCAAACTNGGCAATCTCTTTGGTGACATGCGTAAAATGCCTCAACCAACGCAATTAATGCAGATTGATCACTTGCCCCAATGGACGACCACGACTATGCGCCTACTCTCAGCATTACTTGTTCCATTCCCCCACTAGATTCGTACTGTATAGGCGTATGTTGATGATGAGAGACGGAAGTGAATAGCTACAGTCAACACAGAATACACACACATTTTCAAACATTCTAACCTAATGAGGATAAGAAAGACACTGTTGTCATATATATATATATATATATATATATATATTTCAAATGGGAATTCGTCGTGTATATAGCAAATA